AAAAAAAAAAAAAAAAAAAAACTAAATTGATGCCCTAAAATTAGGGTTAGCCTCGACTAATCTTACAAAATGCATGTTGAAAAAATGTTTGTTTAAAATGGTTCGCATGAAATTCACATTTTATATGTTCTCATTTCTACATATGTACATTCGGTTAAAACCGAACCGAACATATGTACATTAAGGGGTGCACATTCGGTTAAAACCGAACCGAACCGACCGAATTCTCGGTTAACCGAAAATTCGGTTTGTCCGTTACTTAAACGGAAAAAACGAACCGAAATTTTATGGTTCGGTTCGGTTTTAACCGCAAAAAACAATCGGTCGGTTCAGTTCGGCCATCGATTAATTGCAATAAATAATTAATTACTAACTAATTGAGCAACAACCATGATTTTATAGATTGAAAAATTGAAACATACCAATTGAGCAACACAAAAAATAATAATTAGGTGAATCCTAATAACAAGAACCCCGGGCTCCAACAAAATAAGTAGCAGACTAGTAGTAATGTACTTCTTCAGTCTAGCAATATAACAAAAGAAACTGATTGCCCAACCAAGAACAAATGTAAAACACCAGACGCAAATTCAACCTCTAAATTGTTTGCCGACCGGAGTGTGTGCGGGGCGGCGGCTGTATGAGCTCCGACGCCGACCGGAGCGTGGGCCGTGCGTGAGACAGGAGATGAAGTCAGATAATCCGAGTGTCACGATTCACGAACAAAGAGAAGTTGGGAGCCTGGGAGATGTTCTCCAAAATTAGGGCTTTTAAATTTGTGTAAAGTGATATCGTAGTGGCTTAGTTGGGACTTGGGAGTGAAATGGGTGATGACTTTGTGAGGGCTTCGGAGTTGGGTGGCCGGGTGTGTTTGATACAAATTTTTATATAATGGGCCTTTATTTTTTTTTATATAATGTATTGGGCTTTTTTAAAATCATATATACTATCGGTTTTCGGTTCGGTTCGGTTAACCGATCAATTATATTAAAACCGAACCGAAAACTGAATTTTTAAAAAATACAACCAAAACCAAAATTCGATTTCGGTCCGTTCGGCTCGGTTAACCATCTTTTGTACACTCTATATATTATATGTGTTGATGTTCACATCATCATAACACTCAAAACTGCAAAGCCACATACCTCATTTCTACACAACACGAATGAGCGGCAACTAACAATTTCACACATCAAAATTTCGAACTACAGAAGGCCACGAAATGTATGCAAATTCACAGGCTACAGCGTTCAAATTCACATTTCAGTTTCAGTTTCAGTTTCAGTAATTACCCGGCCCTAACGAGTGGCGGACTGAAGCCGAAGATCCCAGTGATCGCCGGGGTTCGCCGGTATTTTGGGAGAAATGGCGCCTAAGCTTGCCGGGGCTCGAGGTGGTCTCCAAATTCGGTGACTGGTGGTCGCCGGCTCAAGGGGCGGTCGCCGGTGAGTAGAGGCGATAGAGGGTTTAGTGTTAGGGTTTATCGTTTACGCTATTTCTGGTCCACTCTTATCTTATTATCAGATCAGATTTTTTATCAAGACGGGCTGGCCTGAGGCCCGACCCGTGACGGGGTTTAGTTGGGCTTCCGTATTTAGAGGGCTTTGTCTAATAATCTCTAATTACCACTTGTGTTGATGGGCCGCTGTTTAGGGTAATCCTCTACACGTTTGGACCTTGGGTTTTTGTGGGTGCATAAGTGGATTATAATTTTTATTTTATTTATAACTTATTAAAATGCATGTTAAAAATGACTTCATAGCAAAATTGATAAACAAAAATTATGTGGAACCATCGGATAATTTTCTTATGGGATTGATTGAATGAATACCGACTCTTATACGTATGTGTGTGATTGATTTGACGGTGAAAATCTTCTATCAGTTGTATTGCAATTGTGAATAGGTCAAATTTTTTCGTTGAGTTTAGTGAAAAATCGAATAATCTAATAATCAGACAAATTATTTTATTTTATTTTATTTTCTAAATAAATGTATGTACTTGTGGATTAATTTAACCTAATGTTTCAAATAAGAATATGTATTTATATTTGGCGAATCGTACCGACTCACTTCAGTTCGGTTATTTTCAGTTTAAAAAAGATATATCAACTTTTTATGTGTTGTATGTGGTCTCTGGTCTTATTATTTTTTAAAAGAGTTTGATTCAGTATTTTTAACTTCTTTTTTTTCCTTCGGTCGTGTAGTTGACTAATTGTTATAGGAACTGCAAATCCAAGGTAAACCGACAACTCTGGTTTCAATCAAATGTCTTTATTGTAGAACATTCTTGTTCTATTTCGTCAGGTAAATGCAATTTGATTTGAGACTTTAATAATTTTGGGTTTTATGTTTTTCGAATTCGGCACGATTGTGCATTGAATCACAATGTTGCTCACCCATAACAATCACCTTAAATACAATCGAAAAACTAAATCGAAATAGGTTTGGGTTGGACACCAAATTTGCCCAGACTAAACAGTGAGGCTCATCCAGCGACTCGTACGTTTTCTACAACTATATTTCTTATCGTCTTATTAAATTTCAATTGAATACTCTAAAATTTCAATATGGATTTGTTTGGTAAACCTAGTTGAGAAACTAATTAATAGCTGATAAGTTGGTTGATCTTATGACTATGTTTGTTATACCTAACCAATAAGTTGATTGATAGCTAATAAGTTAGTTGATAACTTATAAGTGTATTCAAACTTATAGTTGATAGTTCACGATTAATGACTGAAAAGCTAGTTGATATCATAAAAATGTTTGGTAAATTAGCTAATAAACAACTATATATATACTAGTACAACACTCGTGTATTACACGGGTATTTGCTAATTTTTTTCTTATAATCTAAAATTAATGAGAAAAGTAGTTGAAAATTTAAATACCTTTTACAAAAATGTATATATTATTATATATTAAGTATGACACTTTTTATTTGTGCGACTTACTTGTGTTATATTATAATGATTTTTAACTTACAACATATAACTACATTAAAAATAAATATATCAATTGATAAATAATTTTATTTTTCTAATGAATTTTAGTAAATATTATTATTTTTTATTATTATAAAGATAAATATAATTTATTTATTTCATATATACAATATGAATGTCAAATCGAAGATCATCAAAAGATGATTAATTTGATATATAATATATATAAAACCGATAAAAATTA